AAAACGCGGGGCAGCTTCTCTCGCCCTGGAGTACACGGGCGGCGGGAGTCCCGCAGTCCGTGTCCTCCGGGGTGAGAAAAGCCGCGTTCGTAACTGCGGATCCGACATAAGTTGGATCCGCGTAAGTCGGGGACTGCCTGTAGTGTATGTAATTTGATTCCTTTAAAAATTTTACTCTCAACCTTTTATTAATAAACCTTTGGATTTTAGATTCTAAAGGATTGGTACAGTGTAAGTATTATTCTTTTTGGTAAGATCTGAGATATAAATTAACTTGGGAATGTGGCTAGTCCTTAGGGATGCATAACCTCTCATCAATATAAGGAGTGGTATTGGTGGTGTCAGAGGGGAAACTGGAGGGTCTAAAGGAATTGCTTGTATAATTTCTGGTTAGCCAGTGTGGCAAACAGAAGTGTTCTTTGTGACTGGTTCGGTGTGCCTTATATTAAAGAACCCCACCCCACCCCAGTTTTAGGCTGTAAGTAGCCCTGTCTCTAAACAATTTGCCCTGAATTGACCCTCTCAGCAGTGCCTCCAGAAGCCTCCTATATTACACAAGGAAAATTGTTTTATCTGTAGGTCATTTAGTCTGCTCTCTTCAGAAACACTTTTCAACAAGTTGAGCCACTTAGGGATTTCAGTTTGAACAAACTCATTCATACATCATAATATTATCTTCTTTCAGAAAAAGACTACACTGGATATATGACAGTTGCAAAACCAGTCTCTATATTATAACATCTGTATTCTCTAAAGTGTCTCCTGTTTCAATAACATGATGTTCTATGGACAGATTTTTGCTTAGTACACACTACTTAGTAGACAACCCCTACATTTGCACATTATCATTCTTTCAGCAGCTTTTTTGGTAAACATTTCACTGTTTTTTTACTAGCCTAATTTGCAACCTACTCTGGACTGGATAACAACAACTTGGCTGTATTTCAAGTCTTTTGCCAAACTGTGCTAAAAAAAGTTGAAATCACGTGGACTAGTTATTTTGGGGCTCTTTTTCAAAGCTAAAAACTTTGCTTATAAACTGAGTAGTTTTAAAACAGGTCAATTTGAACAATAATATCTCCTGCAGTTTTCACAAAGTGAAACTGAGCAGTCCATTTTGCTCAAGAAAAGGGAAGTATTAAAAAAAATAAACAATGCAAATAGGAAAAAAGTAAAGTTGATTGAAAACTAACTTTTTCATGGGCAAGAGTATGCTAGACACTCCATTTCCCAATGCTATAACCTTTTAACCCAATGTCCTTTTTCATATGCCAAGACATTTTACATTCGTACCTTTCTTTTTTTCAGTCACTTTGTCCACACATGCCTGTTTGCATCCAGTTTGGGGTGGGTGCATGCTACGCCCATTTGTAGCATGGTCAGCATAGATCTACAAAGAATATAGGCTGTGAAACCTCCACCTTTCTAAAAATAAACACATCTAATTCCTTCCCCTTCTTCACACTATTTTTGTACCTCTTCTAGAAAGCCCTGATTAGTGTTGCTCTACTCTGAACTTAAGCATTTAAAATGACAGATTAAAGTAACAAAACTTATTTTAGACACTTCTCACACATTTAAATTAAACTTCTGACTGTTTCTCAAGTGGATGGGTAAATAGTGAAGTGAGTCTTTGAACTGGGTTTCTGGAACTGGGTTCTGATTTCTGAGAGAACTTTATGCACATATAGTGTAAGTTAGATGCCAATTCTCAGAAACTTTGAATATTACATATTGTGGCAGTTATGAGTAGAGATTCTTCAAATGTAAGTTCACATTATGTAAGACGAAAGTCAGTGTGACTTTTTCAAATATTATTTCAAATTAAGTTTTCCCTCAAAGTATACAGTGCTAATGTTTTAGCCTTGAATAAGTTGTTCAAAATAGGGATGTTAAAAAAAACGTAAAAAGGTAAGCATATAACTGCTAAAACTCCTAACAGTTCTATGTGCGGTCTGCTCTGCAATATAAAGTTTATACTGCAAGGCCTGCAGTGGAGAGCAACAGCTGGCTCCCTGGGAGCAGGGCCGGCAGTCAGCGAATTGTGTAACCGTAACAGAAACGGATAAGCTAACGCTTATCCATTAATGATTTAAATGGTTACGCTTACATTGCTAGTTCAAAGCAGAGAAGTTATTAATGAAAGGTGACAAAACTAACTGTATCTGAAATGTACAAAATATTCTAGTCCATAAAGATTCAAGTCATGAGGTAGAACGTGGTGTCACGTAAACAGTATATAAAGGTCCAGGGCTGCAGTTGGATACTTGCGTTTGTCCAGTCTTTAAACATTCTTGAAGAGGCCTCTCATTTCAGATTGTACAACTGCTAAGTTGACAGTTACTAGTTTTGTCACTGAAAATTATCAAAGCAATATGCAGACTAAAGCAAGGAATGATTAGCATTCTAAGCATCAAATTTGCTATTTTAGAATCCTTGGAGAAATGGTCTAGATCCCAGCTGACTCAAAATCCCTCATCCTTAAGGTCAAATAAATAGTATGCAATGTAACATGTGAGAACCTTTCAAATGAGACATTAAATACCAAGAAATCTTGTTCCACAATACAAGAACATAAAAATCCATGTCCTGTTTTGTAGAAGTAAACATGTATGGTACACTGGGGTCCAGAGTGGTCATCATAACAGGAAGCCAGAAAGTAATGCAGAATAAGAAAATATAGGCTAGGAAAGGTTATTTATCTTTAGAGAGCTATATGCATGGCTCATCTTTGTTCACTAATTCTCCAAGCCAAAGTACTTGCTACTGAAAGACTTGGTAGGAGAAAGGAAGAATTTAAAACATGGAAAGATTAACTGAGCAAAAACAAGTTAAAGAAACAAAGTGAGAGAGGTAACATCTTTTATTGGATCGACTTTTGTTGGTGAGAAAGAGGTTTTGAATCACAGAACTCTTCTGAAAGAAAGAAGTTTATCTCACCAATAAAAGTTGGTCTGTCTTAACTCACCTACCCTGTGTGTCTACTATCCTGGGACTGACACGGCTACAACTATACTACATATAAAAAAATTCTACATTTATAAACTACATTATTTGCTAGTACAGGTATTTTCAATTTTTTTCCCCCCCACAGAGAGTACCAGATATTATTTGCTAGTACAGGTATTTTCAATTTTTTTTCCCCCCACAGAGTACCAGATATTGGATTGTTTCCATCATTTATCATCCCTGGGTAAGTAGAGCAATTGTTTTCTATGAAAAAAAATATTAAGAAAGTACTTTTGATGGAAAAAGAACAGGAAGCACCATGTGTCACGTTACTGGATTTTAAAGTGAGCAGACAGATCACTGCTGTGCCCACGGAGGCGGGAGGGTTGCCCCAAATTTGGTGAGGGTCATGTGAGGTGTCAAATGGAAGCTTATGCTCTACTGAATCTGCATATGCTACTCATGTGCTTGTATGTGGAGTTATGAATGTGTGCTCTGTGCTGGTACAGTGAACGTTCTCTGTCTGAGACAGAGCAATGGGCTTGGATTGCCTGTCTTGAGGAAGGAATGCCCAATGAATGACTATGCTAATTAGCACGGTTCCAGGGACAATGACTCTCAGGGTGGTCAATACACACCTGAGGAATGCATCTGGAAACCTGCAAACCAGCCACGGCATAATGGCTGCTGGCATGTGAAACATGCCATCATGTGACCAGCTCCAGCTTGGGAGACACCAGGAATGAATATAAAGGTGCCAAGAGGCTGACTCCATCTTGTCTTCAATCTTGCTACTGACCCCAGATACAGCCTTGCTAGGGCCAGAGAGTCGGAAAGGATTGCTGATCCACCCTGACATAGGATATACACCCTGGACTTTTAAGCTAGCAGTTTGTAACATCTCTGCTAAGAGCCTGCATCAAGAGCTTGGTGATTGATGTATGTAACATTCTCCTTAACATTACTCTCAACCTTTTATTTCTTTGATTAAAAAACCTTTAGATTTTAGATGCTAAAGGACTGGCTCAGCGTGCTGTTGTGGGTAAGATCCAAAGTGTAAACTGATTGGGAATTGTGGCTGGTTCTTTGGGACTAAGAAGATCTGTTTGGAGTTGGTGAGATTAGATTTTATAATCCCTCACCTGTGTGTAGGCCCAGGACTGATTGTGTCACAGGGAGAGCTGGGGTGCCTGAGGGGTTTTTGCTCATGAGGCTTCCTGCTGGCTGGATTGGCAGCTGACGTGCTCGGTGTGACTGGTAAGTAGCCCTGGTTTTGAGCAATTCACCCTGAGCAGATGCCCTTAGCAGCGCCCAGACCCATCCTGGTCCGTTACACCCTGTGACAATCAACCCTCTGGGACTATAAGAAAGTGTTTCTACCCTTATCCATAAAGCTGGTTTCCAATAGTTAGAACTGTCTGTTTGGCAATAAAATTTTGAATGTAAGTATATAGGACCCAAACCCAGGGATTTTAAAGGCACAGTTATTACGCACATCTAATTATTTCAATTTGTTTAAAAAAAAGCCCCACAGAATACAAACCATGGAGCGCTGAGATCTAGCAGATGTAACAGTTTGTTCCGCTTGGCTCTTTGCCTTTGATCTTGTAATCCTCACAGAAGAAGTAGGAGCAGCCTAGAAACATCCCAAAATAAAAACAGAAGTTAGCCATATTCCTTTCCCGAGTTGCAGCAATTAAGAAAAGGCTTTGACGTACTAAGAACAGGTGTACACCATAGCACCCTGTAACATGTGCACCTGGAGGCCATGCACGAAGTAATAAAGGCCCAGGCACCTAATTAATTCAACCACACAGGCTGGCTCCACAATTAGGAGCCTGCTGGACCCTGGAGAAGGTGCGATAAGGGAATTCGGGAGCAGGTGGAAGTAAGTGAGGGACACAAGGGGTTGGTGGAGGTCAGTGAGGTGGGGATGGGGAGTTTGGGGTGTCCTGACTCCCAGCAAGTCTCCGGCCAGGAGAGGAAAGAATCAGAGATTTTTTTTCTTTTCCCCTCCCTTTGTTGTTGACAACGTCAATGTTGACTCTGCTGTTGGTTTTAATCGAGAGAACTGTCTTCCACCAGTGGAAAACAAAGAACAAATAATTGGAATGCTCCTGTTCTGCCCTCAGAGGTGTAGCGAGGGTGTTATGCACCTGGGGGCCAAGGCAAAGTTGCAAAAATAATGTTATGTTTATGCAAAATCTCAGACTTACAAAGTATCTCAAATTTTCACAAAAGCCTGTTCTGTTTGGTTGACCATGGTCTATACTTGTTTTTATTTCAACAAAAGTTATGTATCCTATAAAAAATTTTAAACGACCTTAAATTTATATTTAAATTAAAAATCATTTTATGAGGAAAATACTTGTACACATCAAATGATTGTTATATTAAAACAAGACCTGAAAAAATATTATAAAATATACCTAAAACATAATCTGTAATAATAAATAATTATAACTTTCCTATAGAAGTACATTTTCTTTGGTATCCCTGAAAGCTATCAGTTTTCATTTGTGTGGCCCTCAGAGAGATTCAAGTTTGACATGCCTGATATACATGTTTGTTAGTCTTTAAAGTGCTACCAGATTATTATTTTTAAGGCTTTTCCTTGTGTTATAAAGTATATCTTATTTAAAAAAAAATAAGTACTGTAGATTCCCTATCATCCGATGTAAACGGGACCGACACATGGTCGGATTACCGAATATGTCGGATGATACGGACTCTACTGTAGAGAGCACTGCTCCTGCCGGGGACGCTTTGTCCCCAGCAGAGCAGCATCAGCTGTTCCCTTGCTCTCTAGGAGAAGCTGCTGCTGCTCCTGCTGGGGCTGCTTCCT